AGCCACAAAGTGACTTACTGTCGAGCTGCGTAGCCAAATGTCAACGTGTGCCAACTGGCAAGAAACTACGCGCGTATAAAAAAAAGTGTATGCTAATCCGCTTCCAGAGAAGTGTGTGTGACTTGATTCCGCTGGGAAGCGAGGGCAGGTAGCTGCATTGATGCAAGCCCTCCGAAATTTTCTGACGACTGACGCTTCTGTCCGGAGCTAAGTGGGGTCGTAGTTGGCACTATTGCTCAGAATGCTCCCAGAGCCGGATCGTTGGCGTTTGAATGCGCTTCCTTTCGGTCACCGGAAAAAAATCACTCTCTTAAAAGGTGGCAACGTATTTTGGTGGCTGTGAAGTTAAACTCATGACCCATTCCGTGGGTGTAGGCGGGCAATTGTGATAATGCATACCCCCGTCGCACAGCCGGCTTACGTTCGGTCATGCGCGGTCCGAGCATGTGCCAAGTCTGCCCTGTGTATATGCAAGGACAATTTTGAAACGGAATGCGACACGCTACTCCAGGTTGCTCTTCAGGCTTTAATAGGTCTTTGATTTTCATGACACTTTTGCGCAGGGTGGCTTTGGGGCGATGTGCAATTGCAACACCTAACTCCGCAGCAATGTGCTCGGTCGCTTCTGAAACGTCCTTGATGTATGGCAGAGAATGCCCACACTTACGAAATGGGTCACGAGTAAAACTTCGCAGCCATCAAAATAGTCGCCCACGCCGGATACTAAACAAGACGAGAATTGATTGGAGCCTGGGCCTCGAATGAGAACTCGGTCAATCGCTTTATCGATCTGGCCCTGGCGTACAGAGCCCTGCGTAGTCACCTCCAATCTTGCGTCGTCGGTCGATGATTGGCCTGCATGCCTTATGACTGTCGCTTGTTCTGTTCCTGCTACTACCTCTGAGGATGGACTCCTGTTCGAGTCTGAAAGCTCAGGGCAATAAACAAAGTGTTCCTGAGCTCGACTATTCTTCGTCTTTTATGCATACACCTGGAACTCGAAATTTCACCTTCATTCGCATATGTTTCGTTCTTACATACAAAAAACCAAGTTTTGCCAGTGTTTTTAAAAAAACCCATGTTCGAATTTCCACCGCTCTAAAAAAACAACAAAGTGACTTACTGTCGAGCTGCGTTGACAAATGTCAACGTGTGCCAACCGGGAAGAAACTAAGCGCGTATAAAAAAGTGTATGCTAATCCGCATCCAGAGAAGTGTGTGAATTGATTCCTCTGAAAATCGAGGGCAGGTAACTACACTGGTGTAACAAATTTGCAGACGACAGGCGGCTCGGGCCGGAGTCAAGTGGGGTAGCAGTAGTAGGGACTACTGCCCAGGGGTGTTGGCTTTTGAATGGGCTTCCTGTCGGTCACCGGAAAAAAACTCAGTCTCTAAAAAGGTGGCAATGGAAATAATATTATTTTGTCCAACTGGTTTTCGATGCCCTTATAAATTCAAGTGTATTTTAGAGAAAAAATGCGACTAAAAACATTTCTTGCGCTCACCGTGATGACAATTGTGTCTTCTTCAGACTTGACGCTCGAAGAAGGGACATATTTCGATCTCAAAAAGAGTGTGAGATTTCCGAATAATTTTCAGTAGGTGGGCTAACTCATGAAATGTCAAGAGAAATTCCGAAATGCGTTTTAGTTTCTAAAAAAACTAATTAAGTAGGACTGTAAAGGTAGTCAGACTGCAACATAATTCTATAATATTTCATTTACTTCAGGTTGTCGGCTTTCGAATGAACTTCCTTCCGGCTGCATGCAAAAACTGTACCCTGCAGAAAATGACTACTTATGTAGCATGAATTTTCCTCATTGATTTTCGATGTCCCTAAAAGTTCAATTATATTTTATGGAAAACATGCATAAAAATGTGCATTCTTTAGCTCATTCGGGAGACAATCATGTCATCTTCTAATTTTATACTCGAAGAAGTAACATAATTCGGTTTTTAAAAAGTTATCCTATTCTTTTGAATGCGCTTCTTTTCGGTAGCCTGAAAAAACTCATTCTTTAAGAGTTGGCAACTTACAGTGCCTGACCGATCTCATAAAATGTTGGCCAAAATTCTGGAATGTGATTCCGATTAGGAAGGATTACTTAAGTGGGGTTCTTGTACTGATTATCATGCAACATAACCCTATAACATTTCGGACTTGCAAGGATGTCGGCTTTTGAATGCACATCTTTTTGACTTCATGCAGAATCCACACTCGGTGAAAAAATGACTATTTAGGTAGCATGAATTTTCCCTATTGATTTACAATGGTCTTAAAAATGCAAATAAATTTTACAGAAAACATGCACAAAATATGTTTTCCTTTGGTGATTTGGTAGGAAATCACATGTCTTCATATTTTATGCCCGAATAAAGTGTATATTTAGGTTTTAAAAAGTTTCCCAATTCCCTAATCGAAAACGCATTCCAGAATTTTGGCCAAGATTTCACTAGATCGGTCATTCACTGTAAATAATATGAGTTTGTCCAACTGGTTTTCGATGCCCTTATAGATTCAAGTGTATTTTACAGAAAAAAATGCTACAAAAAACCTTTCTCACGTTCCCCGTGTCGACATTTGTGTCTTCTTCAGACTTGGCGCTAGAAGAAGAGACATATTTAGATTGCGACAAGGGTGTCTGGTTTCCGAATAATTTTCAACCCCACCTGCCATTTCACTCAAGTTTAGGGTTTTTAAAACACAAGCTGTAACCCTCCATCTTTTGAATATGGTACGTTCAGCTATGCTGTGAAGAAGATGCCGCCTACGGTTCACAAGATATTACAGTGAATATGCCTCATGTTTTTCGTCAAAAGGGACACCAGTAAACGGAAAGTCACAATGTAATTTGAATGGTAGCCCCACGGTCTCAAAATATTCCATAACTTCGAACTTTTCTTAATACAGGAACGTTTCTCATACAGGATTTGAAAACATGATTTTCTACAAAATAGTAAACGACATGTTCGCGCGGGTTTTCTACAAAATATATCTGAATTCATTAGTGTACAACAAATCCGTGGAAAGATTCATACTACATATATGGTAATTTTTTCACGCAATATGGCTTTTGTTAGCGGTTGGAAATAAGTTCATTCAAATGCTCGGATCCCTGCGCGACTGAAATGTTTTGAGATTAAATCGTACGATGATCACTATTGCAGACTCGCCACAGCAATCACCTGCAATCGAAAGCGCGTTTTGAAATTTAAGCGAAGATTTCATGAGGTCGGACACTTACTATGCATTGAAAAAAAGTTTAATTTGAACAGGGGGTTATGTATAGGGTTGGTCACGAAGATGCACAGATTCTATGCTGAACGAGTCAACTTTGTCCACAAATCACCCTCGGCATCGCCATCAAATTCCATAGCAAATAAACGGTGCATCGGCCATCCATTTTCGCCCTGAGTTCACCCAATCACAGTCAGTGACGTAAGCTACAAAGCGCAAACTGGACTTCCGAAATGCGATTTCGGTTAGAAAAAAGAATACTTGGAGGAGCTAGTAATACTGATAACCATGAGCCCAATTCCAAGGCATCTCAATCGTGCCAGGAGTCTGGCTTTTGAGTCATCGCCATTGCAGTGGCCTGTAAAAATCACGCGCATCAATAGCGATTATTTATGTAATCTGAGTTGTGTTGCGTAGACTTTCAAAACCATATAAATCAAAACATGTCATACGGAAAGTATGCGTAAAAATGCCCTTCTATATAGTCACTTTGTACAAAAGTGCGCTCTTTTTCCCCATTTCCCACTCGAAGAAGTGGAAGCTTATGACTTGAAAGTTTGTGAAGATAAGAATATTTGGTTTAAACGTCTAACACGGGAATGGTGGACTACGACCTCGAGGTCTGATCTTGACAACATTACCAAGAACTCATTGATATTTCCGTCTCCAGATCGACCGACCGGTCTTTTCCCACCAATAGTTTTGTAGCATTTTCTTTATAAGACCATGCGGATTCCCACTGGCAAATTCTTATTGTGGGCGGGATTGAGTTCACAGTTTCTTAATGCATTACAACAGACAAATGGCTTAAATAGGATTTTCTGGGATATGGACTTTCCGTACCGACAAAACTTCCCTTATCACCATTTCTGCATTAGAATTGGTATTGAGCCAGTGCTGTGAGGTTGGTATATATGTATACATCAAACTAATAATTTCAGAGAGTATTCGGCGCAGGACATGGAGCTAAGTCTCCGGAGCATGACGTTTTAGGGTCAGACCCAAAATTTCAATGGACATGCGAGTCGGAGACAATCAACTACTGCGGAATAACCATGTAATGCCCATTCTACAAACAGGTAATATGAAATCTATATGATAAAGGCATTACACCGTACTCCCGGCATAGGTACTAGCTTCTGGAGTTCACATACCAAAAGCCGCATGGAGAACGCTGGGGGACCCCCTGAGGAGCTGAACCCCCTGCAGCTTTCAAGTAGCTGCAGAATATCGACGAAACACGTATCTGAGCGTTTTCCCAGTACGCTTGCCAGGATAACGGTATAATACCTTTGCCATGTAGATTTCATCCTACTTGTGATGCCACTCGTTCGCAGAATGGGCACTACGCGGGTATTCCACAGTAGTTGATTCTTGCCGATCCGAATATTCGTTGAAATTTCGTCCTGGCGTAAAATAATCATGCTCCGGAAACTTAACTCCATGCCCCGCACTGAATAATTCCTGAAATTATTAGCTTGATTACTTTCTGGAGTTCATATTACCAGAAACCGCATAGGGAACGCTGGGGGACCCACTCAGGAGTCAAACCCCTCGCAGCTGTGCCACTCAGCGGCAGAATATCGGCGAAACACGTGTCTGGGCTTTTGGCTAGTACCTATGTCAGGAGTACGGTATAATACCTCTGCCATATATATATATATATATATACTGTGTACGAACACTGTACAAAAGGGCAGAAACACACTGCAGCGAGCCAGACGACAAAAGGTTAGAATTACGCAACCTCCAGCGCCTCTTCATGGCGAACGGCTATCCTCGTAACTTCATAGAACGCAACGGGCAGCCTGGTCCAAGCCGAAGTTCGGTGACAGAACGGCCAAAAATCTGGCGGGCGCTTCCTTACATTGACGGCGTCTCTGAGGCGGTCTCCCGTCTACTAAGACCACTGCGGATTGGCATTGCCCATCGGCCAGAGTCAACAATTCGAAATCTGGTCATGAGACCTAAGACCCCCCTGCCACGCGGCGAAACAACGAACGTCATGTATCGGATCCAGTGCAGTTCCTGTGATATGAACTATATTGGAGAGACCGGCAAACGACTGCACACCCGTGTTGCAGAGCACATGAGGGCAGTTAGGTGGATGGACCCGTTGTCTCTAGTGGCAGAACACTGCGCAAACTCTGGACACACGTTCGCCTTCCAGAATGGTGAAATCCTGGGCCGGGGAAATGACGGCATCACGAGGGAAACAATCGAGGCCTGGTACACTGGCGCGAACTCCATCAACCGAAGCGTAGCGCTTCCTGCGGCTTACCAGGCCCTCCGGACGCAGCTTAGTGAACAGAAGAGTAGAGTCAGGCTGCGACAAGACAGAAACCCAAGTACGGCCGAGTCCATGGGGGCCCACACGCGCAGCTGTGCTTCAACCCGAATCTGACGCAGGTGCGATCGTCACTACAGCCGCGTCGTCCACTTATCTGGCAGGTGTGAGGACGAACGATCGCAGTAACGCCAACGGACCCGATGAAGGTGCTATCATCACTGCCACTCATGCGGCAGGTGAGAACACAAGTGACTGCAGGGTGACAAAGAAGATTGCCAGCCTAGGACGAGAGCTAAGGTCAATGAAATTATCCTCAACTATGGAAGCAACCACCCCGCAGCTCACAAAAGAAGCTGCGTCCGAACTCTGTTCCACCGGGCCTACCGTTATTGTAACAACAACGATCTCCTGAACAAAGAGCTTGCTCACCTGTATCGGTTATTCCGCTCTAACGGATATCCGATCAGTTTTGTTAAGAACTGTCTCAGGCACCAGACACAGTCGCAAGACCCCACCCCCAACGGAGAGATTGTGACGCGAAAATTCTACTCCTTGCCATATATGCGTGGAACTTCCGAAATAATCGCTCGGCAGTTCAGCCGCCTGGGTATTCGCGTTGCCCACAAACCGGCATCCTCACTACGCGCAGCAATATCTCGAGTGAAGGACCCCCTCCCCAAAGAGCAACAAACGAATGTAATTTATCGCATCCCGTGTGCTAATTGCTCTTGCGTGTATGTTGGCCATACAGGTCGATGCCTGGGCACCCGTATCAACGAACACAAACTAGCTATCCGTCGGCGAGACCCCCTGTCCCTCGTCTTTGCCCATGCACTCGAGTACGACCACCGATTCAACTGGGATGGCACCGAGGTCGTCGCCATGGCTAACACAAAGCGAGCGAGGGAATTTCTCGAGGCTTGGTACTCCGATGCGGGTAGTATCAACCGCCACGTTGATTTAGATGCCCATTACGAGGGTCTACGTTCACGAATGACTGCCCCCTACCCTAATCACGCATCAACGACCGCGAATACAGCCGCCCGCATTCCAACTGATTCACCACCCGCCCTCCCCCTTCAGCACGGCGTGCCGTAATTGTTCCGCCTCCTCTCCCTTTCCCCGCCCCTCACTCAGTGACCTACCATGACCTCGGGAGCCCACCCAACCACCCCCCCCTCACACGTCAGTGGTCTGTTCTGTCCTATCACGCTAACTGGTCTACTGTGACAACATAACTTTCTCCCTCGTTTTCATTTCGTCTGACGACGGGTTGGTGTTACCAGCTCGAAAATTCACGAGTAAAACTCGGTTTTTCCGAAGAACCACTTCTACTTTTCAATATATATATATATATATATATATATATATATATGTGTCACGCAAAAGTGGGACCCTCACTGATGCGGTTAGGATCTCACTCGGTCCCATGCTGTCCGTCTGCCAGCTTGCTACTGGCGACAAAGAGTTTGTGTGCCATAGGACACACACACATAATACGTAAGCAGTCTACTAAGAGTGCTGCAAGACGTTTGCCCGGCTCGTGGTCCGCGTGCGCGCGTGTGAGTGTGTCAGCAACCGTGATGTGGGCACGAATGACTAAGCGCTTACCTAACGTGAGAGCCAATCAGCGCGAACCTGGTGATTCGATTGGCTGATTACAGGGTTTGTGCACGCCTGCGGTTGGCTGCCTTTGAGGCTGAATGTGCGCACGTTTCATACGCTGGAAAGTCTTGATCAGATTATGCCTATCGTGGCGTACGTATGTAAGCATTTTGGAATTACAGGCGAAGTTCTTGATGACCCTATTCATGTACGGTTGGGTTCATAAATGCAATTATATACAGTCAGCATCAAATATAGTCGTTTGCAAAGCTTAGGGGAGGTGTTACACCAAATGTGCGAGATTCGTTACATGAGAAATGAAACCAGGAAGTGAAGTTTATGACTGGCCATATATAGTTCCGCAGTGACCGTCGTCGTTTAACAAAAATCGGCTAGATCGCAGTTGGTAGCCAGGAATAAGGAAGCGGACGGCGACCTTAACTCTTATCCCAACCTTAGCCCTAACCCCAACCTTAAACGTTAACCGCTAACCCTTACGGCAACCCTAACCCTAAACCTAACCGAAATTGTAAATATAATCGTAGCCCTAAGACATAGCCGTAACTGAGAAAAGTAACCATAATACTAAAACCTAATCGTAAACTCCAACCCTTACCGTAACCCGAAAACCTAAGCCTAAAGGGTATAACCCTAACCCGAAAATAGGAAATCCTTAACCGGTACCCTAATCCTAACCTCAAACGTAAAACGGAAGCCAAATGGGTCAGTTGTGATTATGTAACACCACAAGAGTCCCCCAGTAAACAAACCCCAGCCACCTGTAATACGGGACCTGGCTACCAACTGCTTTCTAGCCCAAAAATCAAATTGTCCAACTGCCTTTTGAATAAAACCATGGGATCATATGTCACCATTTAAAACAGGAGTGAGCTCCACGGTCAAAATACCCGGTGACTGAATGACAACGTTCGTTAGTCTAGGCGCTTAAATTCGTGTTTAACCTTGCAGTGATGACGGCGCAGGTGACTCATGTTTGCAAATTTGAAGAAACCGCCAGGTTTAAGCGGACAGTTATATCTGCGGGAAGCGCGGAGTGTCCGACGCAGGTTGTACCTCACTCGTCCATATGACAGGCGAAACAAATCGAGCTTGATCAGTCTTTCCGGATATGGCAGAGTTCTAAGGCTGTCCATCACTTTAGTCGTGCGTCGTTGCACCTGCTCGATGGAACCACTGTCCAGCACATCCGTGATGACATTCCGTATTCCAAATGAAGTCTAACGAACGCACTAAAGACACACACGAAGAGTTCGGGAAGAATGACATGGGGGCGCGTGTAATTCAATGCAACAAGTTCGAATTTGTCAGGGATGGGGGGGGGGGCTTATGTGCGCTTGAGACGATACGCAAGTCCAACAGGGCGCGGCACTTCGGCAGGGGAGTGCGGAGTTCACTGATATCTCCATCATTTTCTACATAAAACCGCCTCGGGTCATTTGCAAGACAAGGGCTGCCCCTTGATGGGTGGTGCGACCAGGAGCACGCTTTGATGGGACCCCGACGGGTCTTTAATAAAAAAATTATCTATCTATCACGGGACACTGGTACGACGACAAGGTGAGGTACACCTGATCCGTTTTGCTTAGGGCATGGCCGCAAAAACTCACCAGTCGAGCATGCCCCACGAAAGGCCTGAGGCCTGAAATCAGGTCAGCGGAACCTGGATGAAGGCTCGATTCCCTGACACAGAAACCCCATATCAATGCATCTCAATGTAAGCTGTATGCCGGAAGGCGGTCATTCGGAATTTTTCGCCTTCCAGTGTGCAGCGACGACTCCTACGCATAAATGGCGTCTCGCTGGTATTGCACGACAATTTTATAAACAGACTGGCTCAGAGTAAATACCGCCTCCTCGGAGCAAAGAAGTATCGGAGCTATGATGTTAAGATCATGTAAACCAGCCACTATGAGTCAGACCAAAGGTATGCAAGCATCTGCCATGACAGGATCAGCGAACCACGGCCCTCGCAGCCTGGTGTGCGCTGGTAATTCTCCGACACCCGGTTCTCTGTCGGTAGATGCGATTGCGATCCCGCTGGGTATAGAGGTCGCCAGCGTGACTGTCCAGTCATCCTTGTCCTTCTAACCCGTTGCGGCGTTGTTTTTGGTTAAAATCCCGGTCAAGTACCATGTGGACCAGGGGATGTGGAGTGGAGCGCGAAGGTACGGGCTCGACCGCATCCTCCACCTGCGCCCTTTCCTGCCCTCGGTCTTCTTGACTGTTTCTTTGACACCGGGTCCAGATATGGAGGAGGAGAGGGTGTGGTAGACGCTGCGCAAGTCCACACACTATAAACTAATTCCCGTGCAAGTCGCCGTGCCTGCTTCAACTTGCTATGGAGCACACGGTGGACATCGCCGGGCACGACGCCGAACTGTAATGGGTCAGATACGTACAAACGAATTGTAAAGTGCTAAAGTTGCAGGTTTAAACAGCAACTTTTTCCTGAGTTCCAGAGGCCGTCTCCTGATTCTACAGTGGCGAATAGAGAGCTCGGTTAGATACGCTAGGCACCACAAACTGAACTGATATTAAAGATAGCGGTAAGTGATATCGTTTCTTGATAACTGGCCGGAAGAACGTGTGCTGGAAAACGTTTTATTTTTTAACCAGTTATGCAATAACCTTCGTTATCGGTCACTGGTTCCCATCAAGAAACTAAATCTTAAATAGTTTGTTTTTGTGCACAGAATTCCGAGAACCCACTTCTGACATCATCGATACTTCGTAATTTTTTTCCACACAGGAAGTGCAGCAGAGATCTAAACAAGTGATCATCGGTTGGCTAACAACCAGGTGCATACGATAGATGAAGCAAAAGCTTCCATCCCAAACGTCGGGTCTTTTTCTGGGTTTGTCGGGTTGCATGTGGTCTCGCGTTGTCATGCAACAGAATGGCACCGCTTGTGTTGGTACGCGCTGGATGTTTACTGGTAAGAGCTTGGGTCAGACGTCCTGACTATTGCCTAAGGAGGTCTGCTGTTATAGTCTCTAAACAGACAGCCAGGCTTTATTGGAGTATGACTCTGATTTCGGCGTACAAACTTGTGCCTGTACCGTAGAAAGCCACTGGTTTGCGCGCTTTTTGGTAACGTAAAGAAGCTACCTCTGATCCCCAGTGCTAATTCGATTAAGAAATAACTTCCACTCCCATCTGCTGATTGCTGAACGCCCGGCTTTGTTCTCCATCAGAAGTTGGTGTGGGATCCAGACCCCTTGTCTACTGACTTGCCCTATCTGTTGAAGATGATCCTGAACAGAAGCCCATGACGAGTTTAGTCTGTCTGATCATTCCTCCATGGCCTAAAGAGGACCTATCGCAGCAGCCTGAGCCGAAAGTGAGACCCTTGCCACTACGACCTTCAGGCTCGGTCCCGTCTGACTCGGCCTTGAATCTGATTGGCCAGTTGGGAAGTCGAGTGGGCGAATGACAAGCAGCCCTGGCATGCATGTGCAGACACGCGTTGCGGTAGGCTCTCAGATTAGGGTCACTACAGACCTGCCCCAACAGTTGAGCGCAAAAGGTAATTAGTGGACGATGGGTATCAGGGAGGCCGAAACCGCCCAATCAGAATCCCGAGAATCAACGCCGCCACTTGAGGATATCCAAGGCATCCGGATAAACACCACAAATCGATGCGTTGTTTCCCCTGCGAAATTCATACGGCATACAATGACGGCCATGACTGCCTCCAGAGTCTACGTCTCCTATTTTGTTGTCTAATCTAAAGAAGCAGTATTCATTATCAAAATCTAAACACTATATCTAGCGAATTCAAAAAGCCAGAACAGTCAAACGGAGGAGACATGAACACCTGACAAGTAAGATTCAAATTAAGATTGTAGAAAGTGGCATTGCTTCCCGGCACCCCTAATACATACAGAGTAAAACCAAGGCAACAACTGGAATAGCGTAAGAATCAGGCATCAATAATGTGTCAATGTATTCCAGCAAGATGTCTTTATTTTGACACAATTTGCCGAGAGGGTGAGATAAAAACGAAGATATGAAGTACGTCTGGCCGGAAAGCGCGTGAGTGAGTCTTGAACAGATGCTGCCTCGGTCTCAGTCGCATCGCAGTCAGCCAATCTTTGTGGGGTGCCTGGCTCGAGGCCCCATCCATGAAAATCTGGCGCATCCTGCAGGGACCAGGTCGCGTGTGCGGCACGCATAGACGGGTTGTTTAGCTCTGTTAAGTACCCCGCCCACATCCGCCCCAAGTCGTGTTAATATTGTCTCGTCATAGGAAAGGGTGGGTGGGGGAGAGAGCTAGGTAGATGCTGCGCAAGTCCACAGCACTTTTAAACAAGTCTCCACGCAAGTCACCGGCGCTGTACCCGCTACCTAAGGCACATGGTGGATGTCGTCGCTCGCGACGACCGAACTGTCACGTGATCTGCCTAAAGGATGAGATGGACACTAGAGGGGGCCATCTAAGGACGAAACTCTGCGCCTAGAACAACTTCTGCCTCGGTCTCAGTCGCATTTCAGTCAGTCAGCCTTCGTTTTTCCGCTTAGGGGAGTGATTGGTGACGCCCTCCCGCATACGATGACTACGTTAATCTGCTCTGGGAAGCCGAAAAAGGTTATTTGCTCCCTGGGGATGGTGTCCGCCGTCTTATCCAAATTTTAAGGCCGAGCAGGGGTGATCTGTCGACGCAACTCTTTGGAAATAACAGGATGAATCCACTCATGGTCCTTTTAAGGCATTCTCCAGTCAAAAGACTGATGATGAATCCGGTCACTGTCATGTGATCACATGGAAGGAGTGCCTACAAAAGGAGACTAGAATGGCCGTCTCGGTTTATCAGCCGTCGTCAGTCACCTAGCTTCAGGGTTGTATGACTCGAGACTCGAGACCGGATTCCTTGTTCTCAAGAGCGGCATTGCTTCCCGGCATCCCTAATACACACAGAACAAAACTAAGGCAATAATTGGAATAGCGTAAGAATCAAGCATTAATAATGTGTCAATGTGGTCCAGCGAGATTTCTTTATTTTGGCACAATTTGCAGAGGGTGAGATAAAAACGAAGATTTGAAGCCGGAAAGCGCATGAGTGAGTCTGGAACATCGCTGCCTCGGTCTCAGTCGCATCGCAGTCAGCCAACCCTTGTGGGGTGCCTGGCTCGGGGCCCCTTCCATGAAAATCTTGCACATCCTGCAGGGACCTGCTCGCGTGTGTGGCACGCGTAGACGGGTTGTTTAGCTCTGTTAAGTACCCCGCCCAAGTCCGTCCCAAGTCGCCGTAATATGGTCTCGCCATCGGATCAAGATGGGTGGGAAAGGGAGCGAGGTAGATGCTGCGCAAGTCTGCGGCACTTTTAAACTAATCCCCGCGCAAGTCACCGGTGCTGTGTCCGCTCTCTAAGTCACATGGTGGATGCCGTCGTTAGCGACAGCCGAAATGTCACGTGATCTGCCTAAAGGATGAGATGGACAGTAGAGGGGGCCATCTGAGGACAAAAATATGCGCCTAGAACAACCACTGCCTCGGTCTCAGTCACATTTCAGTCAGTCACCCTTCATTTTTCCGATTAGATGAGTGGTTGGTGGCGCCCTCCCTCATACGATGACTACGTTAATTTGCTCTGGGAAGCCAAAAAGGGTAAGTTGCTCCATGGGGATGGTGCCCTCCGTCTTTTCCGAATTGTTAGGACGAGTAGGGGTGATGTGTCGGCGCAACTTTTCGAAACTAACAAGATGAATCTGCTCATGGTCCTTTTAAGGCATTCTCCAGTCAAAAGACTGATGACGAATCCGGTCACTATCATGTGATCACATAGAAGGAGTACCGTCGTCAGCCATCTAGCCTCAGGGTTGCATGACTCGAGATTCGAGACTGGATTCCTTGTTCTCAGATCGAACGCCAAGTCCACACTGTGCTGCCATTTGTGATACCGTTAGGTAATTTACAGGGTGTGGCGACACGCCTAGGTGCGGCTCCGGCCGCGCCCTCCCCTACCCACGTTCTTTTCTACGCTGGGCTCAGATAAGGGAGAGAGTGCGGCAGATGCAGAGCAAGTCTACATTCGCTATAATCTAAATCACGCGTAAGTCGGCGTGCCTGCTCTTCACCTCACTGTGAAGCGCATAGTGGACATCGTCGGCAACGACGGCAGGCAATAAACAACAGACAGCCGCTCCCTACGACGTTATTTAGACTTACCCACGAACTTGCCCAAAAACCCAGCCTGGTCACAGGCTTGAACTGCCACCAACGACCACAAATAGCTCACAGTCATCCTTTTCAGTTAGAAATAGTTTCGGCGTGAGAGATCCAAGTCCGGGAACTCTCAGGGACGTCTGAATGGCATGGTATGCCGATACTTTGTAGTGCCAAGACTAGGTGAGGTAAAATGTTGACTTCATCTCAGAAGACCACCACGTGTCATAATCAATCTGCTTTTCTGCCACCCAAACCTTAGCAGACAATTTCGAAGGTGGGTGAACTTTGGAGATTTTGGTCGTAAATGCCCCTCTGAACTACTCCAGTCTTGTTCCTATTAAACCTATCCCTTCTCGCTTCGGACGCGATGATACTTACTGAAAGCTAATTTAATGATCCCTGTTGTAACCAAATAGTAGATATTGGCCGACTGCTTCTAATTAACCCCTTCACTTCATTTGCGCTTAAGAACGTACGGAGGCTCCCCCTTGTTTATAGCATTAAACGCTAATGAAGTGATCAAACAGCAAAAAGCGCAGATGTCCCTGTCGAACCTGTTTCCCGTGGTTTTAAAGCACACATTTCGGTTGAGTTTCGTAAGCACAATTTCCACAGAAAGAATCAACTGCCTCGAGAAGGGCTAGACTAATTGACCGTCATCCTCCGGCTTCCCTTCCGGCCGGGTGGAACTCCACTTGAGAGATACTCAAATGCTCTACTGCCCTGCGATACTTATGCAAAGTTCTTTTGGTTTTCCTAAAGCGGCAAGTTTGGTCTCTACGATTAAAAGTCCGATTGGCAGACTAGGAGATAGGAGACCATAACTATTTCTAAATTGGAGTATCTACCAGAAAACACACGGCGAATGCTGGGGGATCCACTGAGAAGCCGAACCCCTCACAGCTGCGCCATACAGCCGCAAAACATTGGCGAAACACGCGTGTATGGGCTTTTGGCTAGTACCTTTGCTGTTAGTATGGTATCACCTTACCTTAAAGTATATTACTAGCTGCCTGTCGGCAATTAATGAATATTACGCGGTTTCCCGCTGTGGCTGATGGACTTTGGTCCAAATATTCATGCATGAAATTCTCGGTCTGAGCCTATAGACCTTGAATAAACTGATCTACTCCAACTTTGCGGATAATTTCTGAGGAAATTAAAAAGCGGAACTATAACAGCCAGAAAACGTGTCGCCGAGCGGAGTCGAAGTAATGCCATCCAGATTTCGGTTAAGAAGGCCCAGCTCTCGCGGTCACTGTGCAAGGAACTGCGCCTTTACTAGACTGAATATTCCAAGGTATGAACAACTGCAAGGCAGAAAGCATGAAAAACTTTCCCCAGAATCTGCGTTTGGTCCACGCGTCACTGTCAACTTGAAGTAGACAGTTTTAAATATCTCGGGGCGAGGCTGCTGCCTAATGGACAGAGTAAGGACGACATCGTCTCCCGAATGGATGCTGCCCGCTGGGTTTTCTCAAGCCTTCGGATGCGACGCGACCTCTCCATCGCCACTAAGATTCGCGTGCACCGTGCGTATGTCCGGTCTGTCCTTCTCTATGCTTGTGAATGCTGGGCAGTGCGCGTGGAGGACGAGCGAAAACTAGAGGTATTTGATCACCACTGCTTGAGGATCATCCTTCGAATGAAGTACACCGACTCCGCTTCAAATGAGACAGTCCGCGCTCGCTGCGACAACATCACAAGGATAACTCAGGCCATCCAAGAAAGACGACTTAAGTGGTTCGGGCATGTTCTTCGTCGTCCACCTCAGGAGCTCACTGTTACTGCCCTCGATCCGGCACCGTCGCACCATTGGAGGCGTCGAAGAGGGGGTCAGTTCAAAACTTGGCTCGACACAGTTTGTCAAGACATGGAGGTGGTTCTTGGACCTTCGGTCTAAGTCGTTGGCGAAGGGAATAGGTTGAGCTGTCCAGATCTGCTGGCGCGGATCGTCACGCGTGGAGAGGTACAGTTCGGGACATCATCGAGGCAGGCTAGATCAGGCATGATCGCAGCCGTATCAGGTACAAGTACACACGTCACTGTTTTCGTAATCAGCATTTCATTTGTCAAAGGTCTAGCCCACTGTCTCAAATGTCTCAGCAAGGCCGGGTGGAGCAACGTGGCAGTAACCAAGGAACCTGCATCCACCAGCCGACTTGGTTTAGCTCTGCTACTGCTTCCAGAGAGGACAGAACTGAGAGTGCTCACGAGAGTGCCCGGGTTCGAGTCCCGCCCCGACCACTTCCCCTCATGGAACCCGCCGACTGGTTTAAAATAGCCGAACTCCAGAATCCTCCATCTCAGGACAGGTATTTGAAGGTTCCCAGTGGTACTGCACCGTAGATCGGTACGTGTGGGTTTCTGAAAGAACGCAACCACGAATCACAACGGACTGCTAACTGGAGCCCTCTAAAACTACAAGAGCCCTCCTAGGTTGTCTGCAAGCCTCCTGAATTAACAGAGGAACGGATAGGGCGTTTAGTTCGCATACAAATACCAGCTACCCTTTCGATTGCGCGGCAGCTTCTAAGTTGTTTTCTAGAGGTAGATGGAACGCAGAAAGCCCGAGTGACAGTCCGGACATACAGAACGCACTCAGGGTAGATAAGCTAGTTCATGAAATGTTCGCCGAAATTCTGAAATGCACCTTTGACTCGGAAAAATAACCGAGGTGGAGTTGTGATACTAATCACCGTGCAGTATAATCCCATGATAATTCAGTTACTTCAGGATGTCGGCTTTTGAACGAAATCTCCAGCCGCCCGCAAAAATGACTACTTAAGTAGTATGCATCTTAACACTGATTTTTAATGCTCTTGCAAATTCGAACATAGTTCGTAGAAAATATGCCCTCTCTTAATCATTTGGTGTAACATTACGTCTTATTCAAATTTTGTACTTGAAGGAAGGGTATAATTTGGTTTTAAAAACTTTTCCAATTCCCGGAATAATTTTGAATCCGATCTGCCGTAACATTTGTATTCGGGGGTTCCGAACTACCGGCTGTATATTTTGCGTGTACGGAGAATCACACATTTCTATACGGTACTAAGAGGAGACCATATGGGGTTCATAAAATCTAGCAGTGGACTTGAGCAACATTGTAAGTTCCACAAGCGACATCAGTAAATGCAGTGACAAGATGTTTTATAAACGGGCATTTCAGAGTTTTAAAAACTATAATAGTTAGAAACTTTTTTTTTACAAACGATTTATACCCCCAGTTCAAGGACAACTTTGTCTATATCGGCTCACTTGTGCTAGCAACAAGTGCGTGGAGGAAGAAACAAGCCGACCACAGCTTGCCCGCGGCATGTCCCGCTCCCTCAGGAAGTGCTGATGGTCGTGAAGCAAGACCCGAGCGCCCGCGACTCCAGGCAAAACTGTCCGACTCAAAGACCGAAAAACACGGTTTCCGGCGCATCGATCGGTGTTTGGGTGGTCAGTAATCCCGGAGGATACTGTGACTACGGAACTGATGAAGGATGCCTATGGGTTGTCATGAGTTACGCCGGACAGACTTATTTCAAGGCCTGTTTGAAATGGCGCCACCGCCTGGACGCCGGTTCCAGGAGTCTCTAACATGCGGCCACGAAACGTCAGCTTGAATAGGTCCGTGGAGCCAGGCTCCACCAGTCGCAACGGATTTAGTTGGTGAGAAATACAAAAAGTACATAAATAAAGTCGTTTGCATGTGCCGTATACTTTTATGATATATTGCACAGTACGGCGTCGCGAATATGCCTACTTTTCTCTGCCTGGGGATCCAGAGCGTGATATTGTTTGTGGGCAGAAACAAAGGGAAAGCAGAAGTTAGTAAAAACAAGCAAGAAGCGAAGACATTGTTCGATGGGTGCCCTTCCTCCTCCTCCTCCTGCTGGAAAGAGAGGAACAGTTCAAGCCCGGAGACATTGTCACTCGGAATTGGTGTTAGTCTGAGCTTGAATCTGCATCATAGGCAGACCATGGGAGGCAGAAGAAAAGGCACTACCATCATCCGGACTACTGACAGCGTTTGGATTCGGCACACCCTGCAAGAGCCGAACTGGTATCACGAGCCCTGAGGCGGGGGAACCGGAGGTGGAAAATTGTAGTAAGTGGGTCACGTCCTGCAGACGAACCAGCGATTCGAGGGCCTGAGGCGAGGATTCCGGCGACCCATACAGTACTGCTGTCTGTGAAACAGCCGAGACCGGCGACGGGCTCGACGTTGACTGAGCGTTGTCAAGGACAACAGATGGCAGCGTCAAGCCTGTAGAGGGAACGGTAGGGGGTTGGGGACAGTTCAGCTGGGGAGAGAGCTGATTCTCTGCAGGTTTCGGTTGGTGAGGGTGAGTACTTATGCTTCGGGAGGAAGTTGTCTGCTCCACGACAGGAGTCACAACAGTCCGCTGCAGTTCACCCTCAACAGGGGGTGTGCCAGAGGGCTGATCTTCGTCCAGACGCGTGGGCGAAGAGGTGGAGGAACAGAGCGGAGTGGTTTGGCCGGAGGCGTCCCTACGATCGCCGCTAGCAGGCTGAGTCGCACCCAGACAGGAGTAGATTAGATCACGTCCCTGATCCGACATAACCATGCCACGAAGGCGTTTAGTGAAGTAAGTGTAGACATGGTTGGTCGGCGAAGCAACCACGAGAAGCACATCAGCACCGGTCAGCTCGGAGAGTTCATGAGCCTTCTTCATTAGGCCATTTTTACGCTTGGAGAAAGTGCTACAGCGTCGGACGCGATCGTGCATGAAAGTTATGGGAATTTTTTGTTTGCCACGGGTGAGCTTGCGCAGCGCGAATTTCGGATGTCGATCGCTCCCTGCCTCCTCCCCCACACCCGTCTTTAGAGCCTTGGAACAAGGCTGACGAGGCGTTCCACCAGCTGGGCCTGTCAAACCGAAATCGGTGTCATCCTCACCCACTTCTACTCCGCCCTGATAGAGTTTGGCACCAGTGTTAACGGTGGTGATGGGGGTCAATATGGTGTTTGGGGTGAAGTTCGGATTGGGAGCCGGAGGAGTGTTATGCGGACCGATATCCTTTTCCAACATCTCCTGTTCAGAACTTGGAAAAAAGAACAATTAATGTTATTAATGGGTCGACCTGTCGAGTGGATCAAAATTCTTGTTTGACGAAACCAAGATCCACAGACAGTGGAATCGTGAGAAAACATGCATCATTCGGACCTCATGGTGGGGGCGAAATAAGTAGGTATGAGGATTCTGGCCAAGAAAAACAGTTATTCACACAGAGCTGTAAGGGACCAGGCCACTATTAGTTAACCTTAAGGGGCTGTTCAGCTGGGGAGGGGGGTCGCACGAGCCGGCGTTTATCCAAAAGGATAACAGAACATCTTCCAGCATGGTTAGGAAAGGGACAAATAAAGAACATCAACAGCTCGGTCCTCGCGCACATGGTAGACACAGACCACCGTGCAGACGCCACAGAGGCCTTCAGAGTGATTTACAAGGTCCCATCAAGCTATCCAAAACTACTTGGGCAGCGCTTGTTGGCTACGGGAGAGGCGGCTACAATCAGGCTACGCGGGCCGATCCAATGCGCACAGAAGAACTTCATACAGATCCCCACAATTGCCATGGGTCAAAGCCACCAAGCCAGTCACTTTCGCCGGGACCTACCTTCCCCCTGGTGCTGACTGGAATTGTGGTGTTTCACTCTCCCCTCCCCAAACCCAAACTACAGCATAATTATCTACTTGCCCGTATCTTTTAATTCATTACTTCAATAGCCATATACATGTACAGGCCTGAAGAGAATCTATCGAAAGCAGACGTACGATCGCCAAATTGCCTTTTGAATCTTTCAATGGAGATTTTCGCAACTCATATTACAATTGACGTGCCGGAACTAAGACGAGAAATAGAACAGTAGTAGATAAGATGGAACTTAGTCCGGGCATAAGTTGGCAATGTCGTGTGTACCTACATGCGATAATTATACTCCCCTTCTCACCCCCAAAAAGTTCTACGATGACGGCGGCACACAATTCCGTAGGTGGTCCAGACTAACTCTGGTCGCTCTCCCAAGCCATGACCCACAGTGGAATTCGGCAACTGTCTGGGGTGTCTAAGCAGCCCTATTTAAGGATAAAAGTACTAATCCCCTTGTGGGAAAGGGGCGTGAAATGGCGTTTTAAACAAATGTTGGGAAACCACGCCATCTACAAGCAGATTATGGATCTTAGATGCAAAACTCGCGGTCGAAACACTCAAATAAACGACGACGACGACGACGACAACAACCCCGTCCACATCCCCCCCCCGCCCCACCCCACAGGCTGCTAGAGAGACTCCGGTCACTTTGGCAGTCTAGAATGTACAACCCCTTTTAAACGATCCTCGGAGCAATCGATCAAAAAGGAGGGCACGCTGGTCGTTAGAGAACTAGCGCACCACAAATTAGACAGCTGCTCTCAGCGGGACCAGATTCTCTGAAAAGGATCAGTGGGATGAGGTGGATGGCGACCACACCTTTGCCTGGAGCGGCCGCCAAAGGACAGAGCGATGCGTCGCTGGTATCGTCTTTGCCACTCGGAACGACATCATGGGACGACTGCCTTGTCTGCCACAGGACATCAACGACCGACGCATTACTCCGCGCCCGTCTCTTCAGGAAACCCAATTCGTCACCGTCGTCGGCGCCTACACTCTCTATGACTGGCTTCGGCGAGGCAAAAGACAAACTATGCAAAGACTTACATGCACTCTTGACGACTGTGCCGAAGGCGGACAAACTTATTGTCCCTGGTGACTTGAATGCCCGTGTCGAGACAGCAAACGCTGTCTGAAGGAGAGGGCTGAGTCCCCGTTGGCTCAGCTGCTGCAACGAAGCAAGGCCTCCTACTTCTGCGAACCTGCTTAAAACACCATCTCCTCCTAACCGACACCTACTCCCGCCTTCCGACGCGGAGGAGTCCACCTGGATGCACCCCCGATCGTGGCTCTGGCAGCTGTTGGACTAGGTTTTCGCCCAGAGGTCGAGGCTTCGAAGTTAGCCCCGCAGGAGACAACCAAGTACGTTAAATACTGCACTGTCGATATGAAAAGGCTACATAAAACAAGCCAGGCAACCCAGCTACTTACGACCTAACTGTCTCCGGAGATTATTGAAGATGAAGTGCCAAGACAGTACCAGACACGGAAGTCCTGGATCAAACGGGAATTCTTGGAATGCAAGTCGCTGCCGCCACCACGATACCGACAAGCACGGTCCCGATGCCCCGCCGCCCACCACCTACATCATCACTATCACAGTTCCCGCTGCGGGGACAAATACAAGCCGCCCTACTCCCACCGCCATCACCAACAATGCGGACCCGATCCCGATCTGTCCTCAATGCGATCGCATCTTCACACCACGCATCAGCCTAATAGGCCAGTAAACCACTGCAGACCAAACCCCGATACCACACGTCTCCCCACCAACATACACAAACCACGTGTCCATCACCCACCACGGGCACGGGAAATGTACCTCTCACGTAAGTGGAAAGTGCGTTTTTCGGTTCCTCCATGTGGTCCTTAGGATACTCTAACGCATAGGGAATCCGAGCCGCCCATCCCTTTTGTGTGAAAACCTGGCGTGTTGTATGGGGGACGAGGTCGTGTGCGACCTATCCGTCGCTTGCGCCCAAGCGTCGCATCAGACTTCTGACTGGTTTGGACTGAGGACTGGTGAAGGACAGTGAGATCGACTCTGGAGACTGCGCCTCCACGGTACTCAGCGCATATCCCCCCTATGAACAACTTGACGCACTCTGAAACTATCACAGTACGCTAGGAAGCCATGGGTTGGGAGGCTGCCAACGGGGGGAATAAAACGGTCCTGCTCGCACGACGGAGAGTCGGGATGCACTGGCCCTGCTGGGATCCGAGCCTTCATTGTTTCTGTAAAATTCCGGTCCTTTGTGCACGGACCAACGTGCGTGGCGCGCGATGGTGGGCTGCCTGTCTCTGTGTTCGACCCCGCCTCTGGTTTTCTGGAGTCCACCTTGAAACCGAGGTCAGTTGGGTGGGGGAAGAGAAAGTACAGTAGATGCTGCAAATGTCTACTATCACTATAAACTAATTTCTATGCGAGTCACCCTCCCGAGTCCGACATGCTTTGGAGCACCCAGTGGACATCGCCGTCCGTGATGGTCGAGCTGTCATAAGATTAAGGGCTCAATAATAAGAGGGTCTGGGGTGACTAAACGCCACAGGCAAATAAAAACAGCGTGTTGATCAGACGAGCGGGAGGCCATGATGCCAGGAGGAGAAGTAAGTTGAATCGGTGTGGGAATTTGAGTTATAGTAAAATCTCGTTAGGTGTGTGATTACGACTGCGCAGCATGGGACATTAATCAATCATGTGAGAAAAAGGGGAGTTGAGGGTACGGGTGAAGGAGTGAAGTTGGTGAAGCGAGAGGAGGTATTGCCGCGATTTCTACATAGTGAGGGAGACACCCAGCCGTCGTCATCGTTGCCTGAAGTAGGGCCTTAGATGCAGCCATTGGACTCACAAAATTGCCAGTGTCTACCAGTTGATTCATAAGTAAACTCATGAGCACCGTATTTTCCAAAATTTCATGACATCATTGAATTCTACAAGTCACAACACCTTTGTCTTGTTCAAAATATTGCTCGGATCGCGCGGAAACAGCCTCTTTTAAATCAAAACACCACTGTATTAAGCTAGACCCACTTCTTGAAATAAGGCAGTTGAGTGGGTTCGGTGGAGGTTACGTCCTTTTCTCGGGTGGTCGTCACAGCGGGTAACGTCGTGATATTGGAGTGACCTCATTCATCAGAAACGGCCTCATTGGGGAGCTGCCTACTCCTCCTCTCGTCAAACCAACGGCCGCTTCATCCTGACTATGTATTCACGCCGCTGGGAGGAATTCGTCATCATTATCAACGCATTCACGCTCTACAGTGGCAAGTAATTACAACGCGAAGAGGAAGCTCTATGAGGATCCACACGCTCTCCTCGCGTCGGTGGACAAATTGATTGTCTTCGGTAAATTAAGTGTCGGAGTAGACATAGACCGCGCCACTTGAAAGGGATTGCTTGATCGACACAGAGTAGACGGAAACGTGTTTTTAACAGCTCAGAACCGGCAGGGAACACAACCTCTCCGTCACCAACAGAATGTACTGGCTTTCCAGTCGCCAGGCAGCAACATAGGTGCATCACCTATGTGATATGTGAGCGGCAACGACCGGATTAAGTGCTCGCCGTGGCGTGTTCGTGACAGGGGCGGGGTTTGTTGATGACAATGACAATACCGAGACCGGAAAAACTGAAACTGAGGGTCGTATTCTACCAATGGCATCAACAACCGTAACAGAGACTGACGGCCGAAGCAGAGTGAAATTAAGCATCTAAAAGTCGAAGTGGAATCCACAACTTCCTTGCATCCATCGGGACAGTCTATGACCTGCAACTCATCGAAACTGCTCTGCCACCCAGTTCAGATAGAATAACTAGGCAGACGGAGACATCATAGAGCGTAGGGCACTGGGTCGAGGACTTCAGATACATCCTCAATTGCTCATTCACAATCTGAAAGGAGGACGTCAAACTAACTTCCTCAAGTGCCGAACGGCAGTGTTCCCGATTGTCCGCCCTGCTTGCAGAGAATAGGAAAATTAGTGCAACAGATGCCCGGTGGAGAATCGCAGCGAAATATGCATGCCCTACAGCTTCGTACTTATGAACAACCTTAAGTCACTGTTGTAGATGTAACGACAAGGGCATATCCCGCAACCACAGTTACCTTATACAAAATCTGCGACAATCACCAAGGGATCTCCACTCCCAATACCAGTGATACAATCTTCTTCCGGGTACTGCTCAAAAATCTTAAGTTACATTTGATAATAAATGTGGACTACGGAAGAAATATGTAACCACTGACAAGATCTTGGAAGCTCGGAAGTTGTGGATTAACTTTAAGGATTGAGCACCAGCCTCTACGTCACATACGCGGATCACACAAAGAACTTCAACACTGTGAACTGAGACGATCGCCGGGAAGCAGTGTAATATG